AGGGACTGTTCCAGAGTCTATAGAATCCTGGAAGATAACCACCAATGCTTCCACTATTTCTAAAGCTACTTCCTTAAGTACTCTGGGATGTAGATTATCAGGCCCTGGGGATTTATCAGCTTTCAATCCCATCAATTTTTCCAGGACTATTTCTCTACCAATATTAATCTCCCTCAATTCTTCCCTCTCACTAAATCTTGCATTCTCCAACATTTCTGATATCTGATTTGTGTACTCTTTTGTGAGGACAGAACCAAAGTATGTATGCAGTTGCTCAGTCATTTCTGTGTGCTGTACTATACATTCCCCTGTTTCTGTCTGTAGGCTTGTAAATGTAAAGCCTTACATTTGTCTTTACCAATCTCTTTCTCTTCATGTACCTATAGAAACTCTTAGCGTCAGTCTTTATGTTCCCTGCAAGAACCCTGGAATGTAGTCCATCCAGTCTGGGTGATTTATCCACCTTTAGACATTTCAGCTTCCCTAGCACCTTCTTCTTAGTAATGGCAACACACTCATCTCTGTCTCCTGGTGCTCTTGAAATTCTGGGATGTTGCTGGTGCCTTCCACTGGGAAAACTGATGTCAAGTACCTATTCAGGTCCTCTGCTATTTCTTTGTTCCCCATTATTATTTCTCCAGCCTCATGTTCCAGCGGTCCAATGCCCACTCTTACTTCTCTCTCACCTTTTAGATATCTTAAACAAAAACACTCTTGCAATCTTCTTTATGTTACCACTTGGCTTACTCTCACATTTTATCTTCCCCCCGTTATTGCTTTTTTAATCATCCTCTGCTGGTTTTTAAAGGTGTGATTATCACAAATTTCCATCCCCAAAGGTATTGGTGGAATTTCCTGACTTCAAATATGACAGCCAATCCTTTTTTCTCTAATTGGGCATATTTATGCTCCGCATTAGCCAAAGTCCTGAATGCATACACGATCGGGCATTCCTCTCCATTGGGCCACCTATGAGCTAATACTATTGCGATGCCATGTGGGAAGGCATCGCATGTCAATACCAGATCTTGCTTAGATTTACAGAGTGCCAACACCTTAGAGATTGATAGCTGTTCTTTCACTTCTCTGAAAGTGATGGCTTGATTACAACCATTGTAACCATTTCCAAAGCAGATGCAAGGGTGCCAGGATAGAGATCATTTATGAATGAACTTTCCAAATAATTTACCATACCAAGAAATGACCTAAGCTACTGGACAGACATGGAACCAGGGCGCCTTTGATTGCCTTACTTTATTTTTCAATGAGTGTAACCTGGTCTTGTCGACTCTGTAGCCCAAGTAGGTCAGTGGGGGGTTTGGAACACTGTGTTTCACTTCTTAGATGCACACCCGCCTCAGAAAAATGTCTAAGGACCACGTCCAAGTTCTCTCAGTGCTCCTTATTGGTCTTCCCTGTTATTAGCACGTCATCTAGATAAATGGCAACTTGGGGTAGACCTTGTAAAACGTTCGCCATTGTCCACTGGAAAATTGCACAGGCTGATGATACCCCAAATGGCAGACTTGTATATTGGTACTAGCCTTTATGGGTATAAATTGTAGCATACATCTGGGAATACTCATCTAACTGCAGATGCAGGTATGTATGGCTCATGTCCAGCTTCGTGAAGGTCAGCCCCCTGCCAGTTGTGTGTATAGATCCTCTATGTGAGGGATTGGGTATTTATCCAGCTGCGAAAAGGAGTTTACCATTTATTTAAAATCCCCACAAAGGTGAACCGATCTTTTGGGCTTCACAATCGGTAGGACTAGAGCTGCCCATTCCGCAAACTGGACTGGTTTGATGATTTCTTCACATCCCAGCCTCCTGATTTCTGCCTCTCCTTTCACCCATAAGGCAAATGGCACTGGGCGAGCCTTGCAGATTCATGGGATTGCTTCCTGCTCAACATGCAAGGTGGCCATGGCTCCTCTCATAGTCCCTAGACCTACCTGGAAGACTTTGGGGTATTTCATTTGGACTTCACTCAGGCGGCCATTTTCTAATCGAAAAATGCTGAGCCAATCTAGGTGAATCTTCCTCAAACAATATCCCATCAAACTTGGGTCCGAGCCTTTTACTACATTCGGTGGGAACTGAACCAGCTCCTTCTCATAAGGGACCAGAACTGAAGTTGTACCCTTAATCTGTAGAAGTTCCCTGGGGTAGGGTCCCAGCCTAGCCAAGGGTCTTAGGCAAACTTAAGGTTTGGAATCTAGAGCAAATTTTGTTAATGACTGGTTTTATGATCACTGAAACGGTCATGCAGGTGTCAACCTCTGTTAGAAATGGATAACCAGTTGACTGTATGTTTATTTTAAATCGTTCTGATTTGGATGTTGCTAAGCAATTTAACTATTCCAACCCAGACATAGGTGGATTTCCAGCTTATGCACTCTCCTGCATACCAGCCTATGAGTTATCCCATAGTAGGATTCTTTTGCTGTCTCAAATTCGCACACTGGCAGCTGGCTTGGATGCATGAAGAAAATTTTGACCGTTCGGCAGAGGCTTGGTTTTGCAGGCGCTTTTGAATGGTTATATCATTAATCCCACATACAAACCGCACATACAAACTCTCAGCATCTCGTTAAGAGATAAACCAAGTTCAGATGCCTCTGCCAGTCATTTAACCTTGTGAAAAATCCCAACACAGATTCACGGGTTACTGAATTTCTTGAGTAAAAATGATAACATCCCAGAATTAAAGGAGATTTGGGGCTGTAATATTCCTTCACTAAATCTATGAACTCTTGAAATGTTTTAGTATCTGGTGCCTTAGGGAAAGATTAGACTTCTAATAATGGAAAAATCTGCAGGTTCTAGCTGTCAGCAGAATTACTCGTTGCTTTTCATCTGTCCCAGTGGAAAAAGTAACACATTCTTTCTACATACTGGGCCAAGTCTTCAATGGCAGGGTCGAACAAGTCAAGCTTCCCGAATAATGGAATGATGCAAGAAATGCTTACCCTAACTCAAAGACAACTGTTGCAAGCAGGTTTCTTCAGGAAAACGCTTTACTCTCATCACCACTGAAATAACGCCACAGAGGCCGGCATCCCATCACCAAATCACCCTTTATTCACACGTGAGAAGTCCTTGCCTTTTGCACAGCCTCCTCAGAGTCAATACACTGAGTGTCAGAATCTCTACCACTCCTCTTTTTATCTATCCACCAGGGCTCTCTGATTGGACCAGGGGGTTAACAGCTCCAATCAGGGAATTTATAATCTATGAGAGACCAAAAAACTGCAGATGCTGGAATGCAAGGTAGACAAACAGGAGGCTGGAAGAACACAGCAAGCCAGGCAGCATCTGGAGGAAAGAAATCAACGTTTTGGTTATTACCCTTCTTCAGGACGGGATGGGGGGGGGGGGGGGCTGGAGGGGGGGGGGGGGGGGTTGAGCGGAATTGTGGTGATAGGTGGACACTGGTGGTAGTACAACCTGGTTGGTCGACGGGAGGGACAAATCTGGTTGGTAGCTGGAAGGGAGGGTCAGAAGGTGGAATGGAAGGGAGGAGGTGGGGCTGGAAGGGGAGCCGGGGATGGGTGGGAAGGTTATTTGAAATTGGAGAACTCAATGTTGAGTCCTCCGGGCTGTAGGGTGCCCAGGTGGGAGATAAGGTGTTGTTCTTCAAATTTGCATTCTGAGTCACTGCGACACTGGAGGGGGCCGAGGACAGACGTGTCGGAGGGGGAGTGGGGGCGGGAAGTTGAAATGGGCGTGACCGGGAGGTTAGGCCAGGTGAAGATGCTCGGTGAAACAGTCACCTAGTCTACATCTGGTCTCACAGATGTAGAGAAGAGCACATCGGGAGCACCGCATGCAGTAGACTAGGTTAGAGGAGATGCAGGTGAAGCTCTGTCTCACCTGGAAGGGCTGTTTAGGGCCCTGGATGGAGGTGAGGCAGGTGGTGTGTCGGCAGGTGTTTATGAAGAATATATTTCCCTCCCCACCCTTACCTGACATCCAGAGGGACTGCTTTCTCCGCAACTCCCTCCTCCACTCTACACTCTCCATTAGTCTCACCATCCCCGGCACCTTTCCCTGCAACTGCAGAAGGTGCTACACCTGCCCCTACACCTCTCCACTCACCTCCATCCCAGGTCCCAAGAAAACCTTCCACATTAAACAGATGTTCACCTGCACATCTGTTAATGTGGTATATTGTATCTGCTGTTCCCAATGTGGCCACCTCTACAGCGTGGAGACCCAGCAGAGGCTTGGAGATCGCTTTGTGGAGCACCTACGCTTGGTTCGTGACAAACGACAACACCTCCCAGTCACGAACCACTTCAACTCCCCCTCCCACTCTCTGGATGACATGTCCATCCTGGGCCTCCTCCAGTGTCACAACGATGCCATCCGAAGGCTTGGCGAACAGCACCTCATATTGCGCCTTGGGAGCCTACAACCCAATGGTCTCAATGTGGACTTCACAAGCTTCAAAATGTCCCCATCCCCGACCTCATCCCAAGACCAGCACCCCCCTGTCATTCCCGCCTCTCGACTGTCCATCTTTTCTCCCACCTGTCCGCTCCTCCATCCTCACTGACTAATTCCCATCCCAACTCCCTACTTCCTTGACCTGTCTGTCTTTTCTCCACCTATCTTCTCAACTATCCATCTTCTATCATCGCCTCCCCCTCTCTCTATTTATTTCAAAGCCCCCTTCCCCTCCCCTATTTCTGAAGAAGGGTCCAGACCCGAAACGTCAGCCTTCCTGCTCCTCTGATGCTGCTTGGCCTGCTGTGTTCATCCAGCTCCACACCTTGTTATCTCAGATTCTCCAGCATCGGCAGTTCCTACTATCTCTGAGAAAATTTGGCAGATTGCTTGCATGCTTTAGCCATCAGATACTGGCTCAGTAACTGAGAGAGAAAGAGCGAGCGAGAGAGAGAGAGAGAGAGAAAGGAAATTACTGTGGAGGGAGAAAGAGAGAGCAAAGGGGAAACAGAACACTGAGACTTGTGCTTCCCAAATCCTCGACTCACCTGTAGTGTGATGTCTGTTTTACTCATGTTTTTACGTACACACTTGTCATGTTCAGTAATGCGCTTGTTAAGTTCACAGTAGGCTTTTTGTAGCTGTGGAGAAAAATGATTGCAGTCAATTTCTTAGTTGTGTTCCTAGAGCTGATTTCATGCATGACTCAGGATATTCACAAAGTAAACACTGGAAGTGATCTTTGGCAAAGGTTCTGGAAGTTTTAAACATTATTGGATTGTGGAGAAATAGCAGAGGGTTGGAAAACTGCGGGGCCCTCCTCTTAAGGGGAGGTTACGGCCGAGTGGTATTATCGCTGGACTGTTAATCCAGGGATCCAGGTAATGTTCTGAGAACCTGGGTTCAAATCCCACCACGGTAGATGGTGGAATTTGAATTCAATAAAATATCTGGAATTAAGAATCAAATGATGACCATGAATCCATCGTTGATTCAGAAAATCCCATCTGGTTCACTAACGTCCTTTAGGGAGGGAAACTGCCATCCTTACCTGGTCTGGCCTACATGTGACTCCAGACCCACAGCAATGTGGTTGACTCTTAACAGCACTCTGGGCAATTAGGAATGGGCAATAAATGTTGCCTCGCCAGTGACACCCTCATCCCGTTAATGAATAAAAAAAAATTATTGGAAAGACATAGCTAAACTGGAAAGTATGCAAAGAAGATTGAAGAGGATGTTGCCTGGAGTTATAGAGGTAGGCGATGGCTCAGTGCTATTATCACGAGACTATTAATCCAGAAATAGAGCTAATCATAGAATCCCTACAGTGTGGAAACATGCCCTTTGGCCCAACAAGTCCACACCGACCCTCAGAGCATCCCACCCAAACCAATCACCCTATAGCCCATCTAACATACAAATTCCTGAACACTACGGGCAATTTAGCATGACCAATCTACCTAACCTGCATGTCTTTGGACTGTGGGAGGGAACTGGAGCAAACACATACCAGACACGGGGAGAACGTGCAAACTCCACTCAGACAGTCGCCCGAGAGTGGAATTGAACCCGGATCCCTGGTGCTGTGAGGCAGCAGTGCCAACCATTGTGCCACCATGCTGCCCCCAGTGTTCTGGGGACCTGGGTTTGAATCCAACCACAGCAGGTGGTGGAATTTAAATTCAATAAAAAACATCGGAATTAAGAGTCGAGTCATCATCATGAAATCATTGTCGATTGTCGGAAAAACCCATCTGGTTCACAAATGTCCTTCAGGGAAGGAAATCTGCAACCCTCACCTGGTCTGGCCAACACGTGACCCCAGACCCACAGCAATGTGGTTGACTCTCAACTGCCCTCTGAAATGGCCGAGCAAGCCACTCAGTTGTATCAATCACTACAAAGTCCCAAAGAAATTAAACTGGTCAAATCACCTGGCATCGACCTAGGTACCAGAAAAGACAACGGCAGAAAAAGCCCTGTCGACCCTGCAGAGTCCTCCTCAGTAACATCTGGGGGTTTGTGCCAAAATTGGGAGAGCTGTCTCACAGACTAGTCAAGTAACAGCCTGACACAGTCATAATCACAGTATCGTACCTTACAGGCAATGTCCCAGACACCACCATCACCATTTCTGGGCATATCCTGTATCACTGGCAGGACAGACCCAGCAGAGGGGGTGGCACAGTGGTATACAGTCGGGAGGGAGTTGCTCTGGGAGTCCTCAACGTTGAGTCCAGACCCTATGAAGTCTCATGGCTTCGGGTTAAACATGGACAAGGAAACCTCCTGCTGATTACCACATACCATCCTCCCTCAGCTGATGAATCAGTACTCCTCCATGTTGAACAACACTTAGAGGAAGCACTGAGGATGGCAAGGGCTCAAAATGTTCTCTGGGTGGGGGATTTCAATGTCCACCACCAAGAATGGCTCGGCAGCAGTACTACTGATCGAGCTGGTCGGGTCCTAAAGGACAAAACTGCTAGACTGGGTCTGCAGCAGGTGGTGAGGGAACCAACAAGAGGGAAACACATACTTGGCCTCATCCCCACCAATCTGCCAACTGCAGATACATCTGTCCATGACAGTAACGGTAAGAGTGACCATCGCACAGTCCTTGTGGAGACAAAGTCCTGCCTTCACATTGTGAACAACCTCCAGCGTGTTGTGTGTCACTATCACCGTGCTCAATGGGACAGACTTCGCACAGATCTAACAACTCAAGACTGGGCATCCATGAGGTGCTAAGGGCCATCAACAGCAGCAGAATTGTACTCCAGCACAATCTGTAACCTCATGGCCTGGTATATTCCCCACTCAACCATTACCATCAAGCCAGGGGATCAACCCTGGTTCAATGGAGAGTGCAGGAGGGCATGCCAGGAGCAGCATCAGGCATACCTAAAGATGAGGGATCAACCTGGTGAAGCCACCAAACAGGACTACTTGCACACCAAACAGCGAAAGCAGCAAGTGATAGATAGAACAAAGCGATCCCACAACCAATGGATCAGATCTAACCTCTGCAGTCCTGCCACATCCACTTGTGAATGGTGGTGGGCAATTAAACAACTCACTGGAGGAGGAGGCTCCACAAATATCCCCATCCTCAATGATGGAAGAGCCCAGCACATCAGGGCAAAAAATAAGGCTGAAGCATTTGCAGCAATCTTCAGCCAGAAGTGCCGAGTGGATGATCCATCTCAGCCTCCTCCAGTTGTCCCCAGCATTATAGATACCAGTCTTCAGCCAATTTGATTCACTCCACGTGATATCAAGAAACAGTTGGAGACACTGGATACTGCAAAGGCTGACAACATTCCGGCAATAGTACTGAAGACTTGTGCTCCAGAACTTGCCGCTCCCCGAGCCAATCTGTTCCAGTACAGTCATTACAAATCGGACGGTCTACACCTGGGCAGGACTGGAACCAATGTCCTAGGGGGTGCTTTTGCTAACGCTGTTGGGGAGGGTTTAAACTAATGTGGCAGGGGGATGGGAACCAAATGAGGAGGTTAGTGGACAGTAAGGAGAGAGTAACTAAAGCCTGTAAGGAACTAGATAATGAAGTCAGTGTGACTAAGGGGAAGAGGAGGCAGAGAGCAGATGATGAATGCAAAGGGATAGGTGGTCTGAGGTGCATTTGTTCCAATGTGACAAGTTAGTAGGTAAGGCAGATGAAATTAGGGCTTGGATTAGTACCTGGGAGTATGATGTTATTGCTATTACTGAGACTTGGTTGAGGGAAGGGCAAGATTGGCAACTACACATCCCAGAATATAGATGCTTCAGGCAGGATAGAGAGGGAGGTAAAAGGGGTGGAGGAGTTGTATTACTGGTCAAAGAGGATATCACAGCTGTGCTGAGGAGGGCACGATGGAGGACTCGAGCAGTGAGGCAATATGGGCAGAGCTCAGAAATAGGAAGGGTACGGTAACAATGTTGGGGCTGTACTACAGGCCTCCCAACAGCGAGTGTTGAGATAGAGGCACAAACATGTAGACAGATTATGGAAAGATGTAGGAGCAACAGGGTGGTGGTGATGGGAGATTTTAATTTTCCCAACATTGGGATTCACTTAGTGTTAGGGGTTTAGATGGAGCAGAATTTGTAAGGAGCACCCAGGAGGGTTTTCTAGAGCAGTATGTAAATAGTCCAACTTGGGAAGGGGCCATACTGGACCTGGTGTTGGGGAATGAGCCCAGCCAGGTGGTTGAAGTTTCAGTAGGGGATTACTTTGGGAATAGTGATCACAATTCCATAAGTTTTAGAATACTGATGGACAAAGACGAGAGTGGTCCTAAAGGAAGAGTGCTGAATTGAGGGAAGGCCAACTATAGCAAAATTTAACAGGAGCTGGGGAATGTGGATTGGGAGCAGCTGTTTGAGGGTAAATCCACATTTGATATGTGGGAGACTTTTAAAGAGAGGTTGATTAGAGTGCAGGACAGACATGTCCCTGTGAAAATGAGGGATAGAAGGGGCAAGATTAGGGAACCATGGATGACAGGTGAAATTGTGAGACTAGCAAAGAGGAAAAAGGAAGCATACATAAGGTCTAGGCAACTGAAAACAGACGAAAAGCTTTGGAAGATTATCGGGAAAGTAGGACCAATCTGAAATGAGGAATTAAGAGGGCTAAAAGGGGTCAGGAAATATCTTTAGCAAACAGGGTTAAGGAAAATCCCAAAGCCTTTTATTCATACATAAGGAGCAAGAGGGTAACTCGAGAAAGGGTTGGACCACTCAGGGACAAAGGAGGGAAGTTATGCGAGGAGTCAGAGAAAATGAGTGAGATTCTTAATGAGTACTTTGCGTCGGTATTCACTGAGGAGAGGGACATGACGGATGTTGAGGTTAGGGATAGATGTTTGATTACTCCAGGTCAAGTCGGCATAAGGAGGGGGGAAGTGTTGGGTATTCTAAAAGGCATTAGGGTGGACAAGTCCCCAGGTCCAGATGGGATCTATCCCAGGTTACTGAGGGAAGTGAGAGAGGAAATAGCTGGGGCCTTAACAGATATCTTTGCAGCATCCTTGAGCACAGGTGAGGTCCTGGAGGACTGGAGAATTGCTAATGTTGTCCCCTTGTTTAAGAAGGGTAGCCAGGATAGTCCAGGTAATTATAGACTGGTGAGCCTGACGTCAGTCGTAGGGAAGTTGCTGGAGAAGATACTGAGGGATAGGATCTATTTACATTTGGAAGAAAATGGGCTTATTAGTGATAGGCAGCATGGTTTTGTGCAGGGAAGGTCATGTCTTACCAACTTGATAGAATTCTTTGAGGAAGTGACAAAGTTGATAAATGAGGGAAGGGCTGTAGATGTCATATGCATGGACTTCAGTAAGGCATTTGATAAGGGCCCCCATGGTAGGCTGATGGAGAAAGTGAAGTCGCATGGGGTCCAGGGTGTATTAGCTAGATGGATAGAGAACTGGCTGGGCAACAGGAGACAGAGGGTTGTAGTGGAAGGGTGTTTCTCAAAATGGAGAACTGTGACCAGTGGTGTTCCACAGGGATCCATGTTGGGACCACTATTGTTTGTGATACGCATAAATGATCTGGAGGAAGGTATAGATGGTCTGATTAGCAAGTTTTCAGATGACACTAAGATTGGTGGAATAGCAGATAGTGA